CTTGGTGCTTTCTAAAACGGCAGAAATTAAAGAAAAGCGAGGCATTTTTTTCCACGATTGTTTCATTGCGATACAGTCGTTGAAGAACCACTTTCTGAAAACAGCTCAGTGTCCAAGTTCACTGTCTTAAATTCTTGTTACAATTACTATGAGAAAATAGAACTAAAACTAGTGTGCCAGAATTTTAAAACCTTAGCTTCAAAATAAGTTGACAATATTTCAATTCGCTAACTTAAATTTAGGGCAGTTAAATGTCTTGCTAAATTATCTGAACTAAACATATTTTTTCTGACAGTGACCGAGATGAGATTGGAAAAAGTTCGTGTAGATGGAGCAAACCAAATCTTTCTCCTTACTCTCACATTACTCTTAACTTCTTTGCCGTTAATTCCAGGAAAATTTACGTCAAATTCCCTTTTCTCCAAGGGTTCCTGGATTTCTCCGTTTACAATCATAGGCTCATCAGGAATACTGGGAATTTTCACTTCAATTCCGTGTTTGAGTAAAAGGTCATCATCTTCTTCAAATCCTACATTGTTTGGAACACCATCAAGCTCTACAATCTTTAGTAGAACGAGAAAAAAAGGGAAAAAACAAGGGAATGAGATTTGTTAATCAGCCCTAATAATAATAATAACAATAATAATAATAAATAATAATAATAATAATAATAATAATAACAATGTTAATTGTTATTATTATTGTTACTATTTTATTCAGCAATGATGATGATGATGATGATACTGAAAATGAGAATGAGAATGAGAATAACTCAAGTTAACTAGAGCATGGGTCTCCACTTATTCAGTTAAAAATTGGTGTGCGGGGGTGGGGGGGTAGTCTTTCTTTCAAAGCTTTTGTGGTAGCAGCTCGAAACTTGGTCAGACAAGCACACTTTTATTTTTCGCCAATTTGGTTATGGGCATACTTTTTCTTGTGTCCTTAACCTTTTTTTATTAGTTGCATAATTTTAGGGCCTTCAGGTATATTATTTAACATATTGTAAAGGAAAAGTGTGATTAAAGGAACCACTTGAAATGGGGGAACTGAGTACTAGTCAGAAAAGCCGTTTATCTAAAAAAGTAATTACATATAATAATAATAAGAAGAAGAAGAAGAAGAAGAAGAATAAGAATAATAATTTAATTCTTATATTGCGCGCTTTCCATGAAATGATCAAGCGCCCATTAGATAATATCTATCTTTAGTATATACACACTCAGTGATCTTGGTGATTTAAGCAATCTGATTGGTTCGCTATCTCGGACTATTCAACAATATTCACCTCCTAGCGAGTGGATAATGGGTGAGCTCGGTGTTTTTCCCGTTTTTTTTAGAGAACGATCTTTTAAAAGTCGACAAAATCCTAGGGCTGACTTTTTTTAAGGCAAGAAAAGACTTGGAAGGATTCAATACGGCGTTTTTCAATTTACTGTAGCAGGAGTTTTGTGCTCGATGGATTGTTTACAACTCCCGTGTATTCGCGTAGAAGAAGCCGTTTCGTGAACTCAGCGTTTTCTAAGAAGAAAATTTTGGCTCAAAAATCGAAGTTTATTTATGACAAACAAATTTAAAAGGAAATGTTTGCAGAAATTCTACATTTCAAGTAAACAGGAAAAAGAATGATACAGGAAGACGACCTCTTACCTCGAGCAACCGAGCCGCCATTTTTGTCAGCACTTCATGCGAAGAACGACACAACATGCCCTTTTGGCTATAAACTTGGCGAGTCAACAGAAAACAACACAGCTCTACTTTTTTTCTCAGGTAAGGAAACAGTTCAAACTTTTAGCGATTCCATTGAAGCCATTACGCTGTTGTTTGCGAAATGAGTAAACTTGTGAATTGCCATGTTTGAAAATTCTGCAAAGATCTATTTTTAAACTTACGCGTGATTTGATCTGTCAATCAAATCCCTATTTTTGAATGGTTTCCTTTCTGATTTTGTTGAGATCACTTCGTGTGTATATACTAAAACAATTATTCTTCTCAATCTCGGTGAATAGTGGCTTTGGGAATATTTACCTCGCCGCTTTCGCGGCTCGGTAAATATTTTCCCACTATTCACCTCGATTTCAAAGAATAATTGTTAAATAATAACTTAATAAAGGGTATCTAACTACTAATTATTTAAAATATACTATGATAAAATTAAAATATACAACATATGTTAAAATACTAGTAATTATCATAATAAAAATTAAAAATTAATAAATTAATAAAAAGCTTCCCTAAAGAGGTGCGTTTTCATGCAGATGGCGCTTAAAAAACCCTAGATCTGTAATAGAACGAATCTCACGCGGTAATACATTCCAAAGTGCCGGAGCTGCGACCTAGCTAGAATGATCTGTCTCCTAATGTAACCCTGCTTCTATATTCAAATGTTGCCAAGCACAATTTGGTAGTTCTTTATATTGTAAGTTGTCTTGTAGCAATTAAGTTGGATAACTTCGAATCTAAACGGGCTGCCATTTTTGCTTAAAGATTTTTTGGGAGTCCGTGGTCGTAAGAGGTCATGTGACGTAATTTACATAATGTTCATGTGATGAAAAGTGTAATTTTTCGAGAAATCTCATGTCTTGCACAATTCACAGCTTCATTACGAACGAACCCCTCAGTTTTCAGCGAAAATGACTTTTGATCCATGCATCTTTTTACTTGAGAATAAAAACGGTAATGGAAATATGGCTTATGAATTGACCGGGAGTTATATTTATTGCCTGGAAGGATTCGGAGCTTTTGGTATCTGATCTGACGTAAAGTAAAAAAAATTGGTGAAGAATTTTGTTTCTTAAAATGCTTGTTATGTGAAATTCGGTCTTAGAATGAGAATCATATCGATGATGATAAAAATGATGTTGCTGACGATGATAGTTATAATGATGATGATGATGATGATGATGATGATGATGATGATGATGATGATGATGATGATGATGATGATGATGATGATAGTATACTGGATCAACAGAGCGTTGTTACCTGATAGAAGTCGGAACTCTTGGCAGGGATGTGAAACAAAAACACGTTTTTCATGTCACCGTACATGAAGTAGTCACTTTGCTCAGGAGATTCATGGTTGTCAAAATGTTCGTAACATGGAACATCTATGATCTTCATTTTTGGACTCATAAACGGGTGGTTACTGTTATCAGAAGGCAACCCAATGAAACAGTCGAACTCCTCCAATTCACCAGAGTACCCTGTATCCTTGAAGAAGACATCATGAAGTCTTTGCCGTTTGCTTCGGAAGACAATTGGTTTTCGGGCACCATTTTCCTTTAACAACTTCTTTTCTGTAGTGATGTACTTCTCGGCGTCCCTGTCGTGCATGAATTTTAACTTGACAATTGCTTCGTACTGCTTCTGCACTCTGTTAAAATCTCCAACATAACAGGCGATTACTTCGTTCTGTTCATTGACAACTCCCGTACTGACAAAGTTGTGGAGGGCAGTAGGATCAGTAACCTTGAATATAAAGCAGAGATGAAAATAGCAGTGTTGATCATAAATAATTGATGTGTTAACGGCATTCAACCTTTTAAAATCAAAGGTTTTTTGAAAAGTAAATTAGCCCTTACCCTTCCAATTGCGCACAAAATAGTGTTCCTCATGACAGATGACACGTGGTCCATGAAATCTAAAGATGTGACCCAGGGATCCATGCAAGTTGTTATGATATATTTGACTGGTGTGTCGTTGTTTGAGGTAAGCTGAATAGAAAAAAGAAAGAAAGAAAGATGTGTAGATTAGTGCATATTGCAGTTTAGACACGCGTAATTCTGCCTCACTTTTCATGGCTGTGGTCAAGAAAAACCATCAATAATTTTCAGTTATTTATATGGTCCTAGATATATCACGTGATCTTTTAAAATATAAATCGAATTTCCAAAAGGAAAGGGCATCGAGAAGGTTTCTCGTTATACCAGATTTCGATTCTTTTTGTTCTCTCTTACCCCTAATCTTGTCTTGAAATTTGTGGCTGCAACACTGTGGACGTGGGACACCATACTTGATGAGGTAACAAGCATTGGGATGCGAAACGCTGTATGTTCCCCAGATGTGTGAGTGAGCCTTTCGAATATCGCTGTGTTGATTGCATTGCACACTTCAACGCTTTGGTTTCCTTTCAGGTTTACAGCGAAACACGGTATCAAGGTATCAGGGCCCACTTCTTTTAGGTAAAGCATAGCTTTATCATCCTAAACGACAGACAAGATAAAACAGTACTTAACCTTGCTGCTGTACGTTTTATCAAAGAGTTGCCTCGCTGTCAATGATAAAGTGAAAAAAAATTGTCACCGCAAGCAAATTCAAAAGGTGACGTCAGTTAGAGTGCTATTGTTCCCTTTATAACAAAGGGCTTTAATAGTACCCGGAACGTCTGCTTTGATGAAACTTTCATTAGACCATTTTAGCTTGTAAGTTTTGTTTTCCCTATTCAGACCACGTGATGATGTTCGCCTGGGGATTTTCCTTTTTGTCTTTTCATACATTATGCATACATATGCACGTGGATGCACGTGCATCGGACGACGTTTGAAAGAAACAGTTCTCTCAGGTACGATCACGTGGTCTGCAATTGGAAAACAAAACATACAAGCTAAAAACGGTCTATTAATCAATGATCGTTTGGTCCTAAATTTCTCAAATCCGATTAGCTGGCAAAAGCCTGGTCCCACCTACACCTGTAACTGGTAATCAGTTAAGGTCGTGAAAGGCACTCAGAAAGAGTTTCTTGCCTATTCCCTACATGTGTTTTGTCGTATGTTTTCTTAGAATAGGAATTAGTTGTCGGGAGTCATTCAACAGCAGAGTTATGTATAAAAGTTATTAACAGTAATTAGACTGACGTTATTGCGCTGTACAAAACCTCCTACTATTTAATTACTTTTGACTAATAACTCTGACTTGTAAAATACCACTTATGAAACGCCAGCGAGTGGTATATCGTGAAATATCCCACTAGTGACTTGATTTCAGATAAACAACTAAAAGATTTACCCGAGCAATTTCTTCGTTGCTTTTGCGAGAATTCGTTCTCTGATGAAGGTAATATGATCCTCCTCTGACCAGTTAGTCAAACTGGGTAGAGGAATCGTCGTTTTGATGACAAAAATGTCGTCTTCTTTGGCCAGCGTTGCCCACTGACAGTACAGAATCTTTGCGTTGAACATGCACTCAGCCAGGATACGACCATAACCGTGTTTGTGAAGACCAATGACCTACGAAAGGAGGAAAACGATATTGAAGAACACTAAGTAAGCTTTATTCATCCTATAAGCAACTGGCAAGAACAATAGTTGACTAATCTCTCTTTTAAACATAAATTCTGTAGTACAAAAATTACGCTTTAATGGACTTTGATAAATTTTCGAATTGTTTACTGTTTCCGTTTCCAGGGGAACAACCAGACCTGAGGGTTAGAAAAAGGCTTCGCCACACATATTGAGGTTTTCGCATCCATATTGACAAATTTCGAGCTTACTTAGAATACGCATATCTGAGTATTTCTGAAACCGAAAACCTTTGTTTCTTTCACCCTACGCATAGAATAACAAATGTGCTATAAGCATCAAGCTCACTTGTTTCCAGAAGAGATTGATTCAAATTCTATGGTTATTTTTTTATGATGATATCACACATGAGCCAGAAAAATAACTTGGTGTTTTGTCGAAAAATAGTCGTAATAATTGGGCTGTCTTATAAAGACTATTTTTTAATACATTACTAAAAGAAAAAGATTCATAAATGGTTACCCTGTTTGCCATCATGACCCCTACAGCAGCTGCCCCAGGTTTGGATCCTTCGATACCAACATTATTAAGAAGCATGTTCCCATGCAAAAAGAGCGCCTTACTGGTGATTGACAGAAATGAATTCCTCTTTCTGTCTCTATAACAGATTGCACCACCAGGATAAGGACAGAAGCCAGATTTGTGGGGATCAACAGTGATTGTATCACAATGGTGGAGAGCTGATAACTGTTCGTGGACGTAGGAACTCAGGTACATTTCTGGAACAAATCCTGTTTGTTTGGCTGTCGGCATAGGACTGCTCTCCGGCTGCGCGCGCAGCATACTACAGAAATATCCTCCCCAGGCTGCATCCGCGTGAATGCTGAAGTTCAGACCCTTCATATAAATAAAGACAAGGGTTTTTAAAATAGACAATTCTTCAAAGTAATACCTAATTTATGGCATAAATAGTTTAGGAAAGTGGTGCCAGGTAAAAAGGATCTATATAATTAATACATCGCCGAAAACGATTGATGATCTTAGTGATCACGATGAAGAAAGAAATGATGATTATCATGATGATGATGATGATGATGATGATGATGATGATGATGAGTACAATGGTTTTGACAGTGTAAGAAATTTCAGATATGAAGTCAGATATACTTCAAGTTATCCTTACCTTCATTCTAAACTTTTCGCGCGAATAGACAACTGCAGTCACTGGATCAACGGCGCCTTGCTCTGTTGTTCCTGTGACAGCTACTACCGTTATGACTGGAATTTCCTTATCCAATTTTTCTTGTAGAATGCGGTTCAAATCTAAAATTCCATAAAAGTAAATGTTATCTTTCAATGAAAAACAACTGTGATGATCGATTACAAGCAAAGAGTAAGTAATTGTAATTCACTTCCATATATAACTCACAAGTTGGTTCATACGCATTTTGTTAATGTTAACTAAATACACCCTACAGTTATTTGTTCTGTTTCCGTTTTCTGGTTTTTTGTTGTTGATTGTTGAAAAAAAAAAAGAAAAAAAAAAAATTGTGTATGTATGTATGTGTGTGTGTGTGTGTGTGTGTGTGTGTGTGTGGGGGGGGGTTCTAGACAGAAACTGTTACAAACCAATAGGATCCATCCGCGAGTTTTCGTCAACTGCTACAGAAACAAGGCTCTCTCGACCAAGTCCAAGGATTGTGGCTGCTTTCGTCAAGGAAATGTGTAATGTGCTTGGAACAACAATGCATGGACTTTGTGTTAGCATATGTCGCCTTACAAACTCCTGCGTTCCAATGGACTCATAAAGGTACTTCGACATTATTTCCATAAATTCATGATGTTCGAGGCTTGCGAAAGCTTGTACATCTGAAGGCATTTGTAAGATAGTGTCGACATCAAGGTTAAGGAGTTCCCACTGTGAAGCGCTGATTAATTCTTCTTCTTTTCCTCTTTGAGGCAATAAAACCTGACCGGAGAAAAATAAAGTTAGAAAAATATATGGATCCGTCACTAAACACTCACTGACTGTTCACGAACAGGGACATGGTTAATTCTCTTAGCTTCTCTTTGCCAGGAAATAATAATTATAATATTATAACAAAAAGATCTCGATGTTTCTCTGTCTGAAGCGAGACAAACTTTGAGAGTCGAGGGAATCTAGACAAGATTTTTAAGCTGCAGAAAAAAACTAGTCGGGATCATGCTGTTTTTTAAAAAAGTATAATCATTTGTCGAAATCTTTATTTCAACAATTTAATATTCTCAATATTTAACAGATGAATAAATTTGTTGTTGAATGTCTAAAATATCAGTCCTCACAAAATCAACTTCCTGGAGCGTTAACCAATTTTTAATTTTAAGAAAAATAATGAAATCCATGATCATAACACTCGTTTATACAAACGTCTACATAAGCCCTTGGGTAAAACAAATGTACGATAATTTACTGTTGCAAACAAGGGGTTAGATATAATTTATAATAGCTTGACGGATGACATAAGAGATGGTCGGTCAAGTTATTCTTTTAAACTTTTTGAGAATATTCATCTGATGAGTGAAGAGGTAGAATGAAACAGTGATGCCACATTTGTAATATTTTATTTATATATTCGATGTACGCACATATATAGTATTGATGATGTAAAACCTTATTTACTAGCCAAAATCGTCTATGTCATCATAATCAAATGAAATTGATGAAAACTGACAGGGAGTCTCCTCGATAAGACCAGAAAGGTTTCTGAGACTTCCTGTTCAATATTGTAATTATTTCTTAAGCACTATCAAAATATTGTAACCTTACATACAATGTTGAGCAAATCAATAATAATAAAAAAATCAAACAAAAAAAATATGAATGGTTTCCAGTGAAAAGAACCTAAGTTATACAGTGTAAGTGGTTGTGATTTAAACGATGCAATATCTTTACACCATGTGTACTCAATCCAGTTAATTTCATCGCAGATGTTTACTTGGCATATGAGAGTTATTTAAAGCAGAAACTCCATTAGTTTTCTTCTTTCTGGTCTTTGTGCCTTCTTAACACTCTCCACGGTAAGTAATGTTCATTTGCAACGTCTGGCCAAACTGAAAATGGTATTTTCTTATATATATATAGTCTACCAAATCTATCCGTCCACATTATGCCTAAACAATGCAAAAGGTAAAGTGCATGGATAAATAAACCAGAACGTAAGTAAAACAGGGAAACGTACCTTGTAACTTTTGGCACCAGAAAGTCTTTTGTCCTTCAGCAAAGCTTCTTGTAGTCCCAGTGGAAAGTACTTCACATTTCTTCCCGCCCAAATTGCTTCAATGTTGGCTACAGACCCCCCAGCGGTGAGATGTCCCATACATCTGTCCCTGTCATACCCCACCATGACACACAGGTCTTTGCCCACCTCCATTTCGTATTTACTTGTGACAGGAGAGGATTCTGATGCGCAGTTGTTTTGGTTGTACAACATTGCAGACATGTAGCCAAGGTTAGCTGGCATCGCTGTCTCCCATTGAACGTGGCCCTTAGGAAAAGAAATACGGGTTGTTAGTTTGTATAATATAATCATAAACAAAGGCGTAGATGTAAAAGCTATATATCCTTTTAATATGAGGGCCAAAAGTTTAGAAGGGTCAATAGTTTGTTAGCCTTAGCCTATGGCTATTAAATGCTACAGGTTCTTTACAGGTTATTTTATTATTTAGTTAGTAGTAGTAGTAGTAGTAGTAGTAGTAGTAGTAGTAGTAGTAGTAGTAGTAGTAGTAGTAGTAGTAGTAGTAGTAATAGTAGTAGTAAGTAAATTAGTAGTTTAGTAGTAGCAGTAGCAGAGTAGCATCAGTAGTTAGTAGCAGTAGTAGTAGTAGTAGTAGTAGTAGTAATAGTAGTAAAGTAGCAGCATGAGTAGTAGTAGCAGTAGTAGTAGTAGTAGTAGTAGTAGTAGTAGTAGTAGTAGTAGTAGTAGCAGTAGTAGTAGTAGTAGTAGTAGTAGTAGTAGTAGTAGTAGTAGTAGTAGTAGTAGTAGTAGTAGTAGTAGTAGTAGTAGTAGTAGTAGTAGTAGTAGTAGTAGTAGTAGTAGTAGTAGTAGTAGTAGTAGTAGTAGTAGTAGTAGTAGTAGTAGTAGTAATAGTAATAGTAATAGTAATAAATTGCTTTATTTGCATGACCGCATCATTTTACAGTATTGCAAAAGCATGTATATGACAATCAAAATATAAAACAAAACAGCACTAATAATAATCTAGAAAAATTCGGTTACATTACTAACAATGAATCACGTATTTTCATGCACGAGGAAACAAACTTCATAACTAACCTATTTACATGATGTTCCTTCGAATTCATTATCAGTTTTATGCTTTCTGGAGATGATTTCTTGTCAAATTCAGGTATTATTCGATTGATTTGATTAATAAATGCCTGTCTCTGTACTGAGTATTTGTTACATTGAAAGAGGAAATGAATCTCATCTTCTACCTGATTTGAGTTACATAAAGGACATAATCTATTTTCTCTTGGCAAATGATCGATTTGGTATCGACCATGTTCAATCATAAGTTTGTGATTACTTATTTTAAATTTAACAAAATTCTGTCGTTCGTCATAATGTCTTAGTTGGTAGAGATAATCAGATGTAGAATATTCATCTTTAAAAGTTTTATAAAATTCTAGTTTTTTTGAATTTTCGAGGCTGTGCCGCCAAAAAGATAGATATTTCTCTCTCATTTCTGTGGTATATCGTCTAATTTTATCATTATCTAGAGATTCAGCATCTAAACTGGTTAGATTGTATTGTTCAAGCATGTTTATGAAATTGGAAAAATATCCGGAATTATTCATAGAATGTAGATTCTTTGACATAAGGAAAGACTGTTTGACTATAGAGTCATTATCTTTGTTGTTGAGGTAAACAAAATGTTTCATAATTTTCTGATTTATCGGGATAAGCAGCGGCAGTCTATCAAGTTCAGCTCTGCAGGCTATGTTAGAGGCCTTATTGTTAACCTCTAAGTAACGTTTACAGAATTTGAGGTGGATTTTTTCTATTGGGGAGCTATCCCATTTTTTAAAATCTTGCTTGGTGTACATTCCCCATACGTCGCTGTTGCAACTCAAGATTGGGAATACCATGGTGTCAAAAATTTGGGATGCAGTATTAGGATTAAGTTTGTTAAGAATTGTCCGCTTCCGAATACTAGAAAACGCGTGAAGGGCCTTTTCTTTTAAGTGTTCGAGTGCAAGTGTAAAGTTTCCCGTTGGAGTTAAACGTGTACCTAAATAAGTGTATTCTTGGACAATTTCAATTGACTCACTGCCTATGTTGAATTTGATGTCAATAGATTTTTTTTTGGGCGTTTCTGGAATATCATAATTTTTGTTTTCTTTTCGGATTAATTTTTAGCTTCCATTTGTCACAATACAAAAGAAAGCGCATTTAAACAGTTCTGTAATCCAATTTTCGATCTTGATAGAATAACTAAATCATCTGCGTAGAAAAGTGAATTTATTTTTTTCCCATTTGGGAGAACAAATGGGTCAGATAAGGTGTTTTCGAATAAAAGTGGTAGATTGTTTAAATAGAGGTTAAATAAAAGAGGGTTTAAAATACAGCCTTGACGTACACCTCTGGAATATGAAAAAGGCTGTGTTTTGTTTTCACCGATTTTGATGGAACATGTCGAGTTGCAATAAAGACTTTTCATGAGGTTGTACAAGTTTCCCCCTATATTCGTTTTTAGCAGCTTATAAAACAATCCTTCGTGCCAAACAGAGTCAAACGCTTTTGCGGAAATCTACGAAACAAGCGTAGACTTTTTCCTTGTGATAATGCACATATTTATCTATTAGGGTCCTTAGAGTGAAAACATGGTCTGCAGTGCGGTTTTCAGGCAAAAAGCCAATTTGGGAATTATGTAATATCTTATTTTCCTCAAAATACAAGTGAAGTCTTCGATTTAAAATAGAACAGAACAGTTTTCCAAGGCAACTAGAAACACATATGCCTCTGTAATTTGTTGGATCACTCTTGTCACCAGATTTGTAAATTGGGGTTATGAGGCCTTGACACCAAACATCTGGCATTTTTCCGGATTGTAAAATGAGGTTAAAAAGTTTGACATAGACAGGCATTAGTGGTTCGAGGCTTGCTTTGATCATTTCATTTCGTATTTTGTCAACAAATGGTGATTTCTTATTTTTCAATTTCTTCGCCGCTTGACGTATTTCCCTCTCAGTTATCTCATAATCGAGATGGTTAAACTGTTCCTTTTCGTGTTCTAAAGAATTTAGTTCCCTATGGATTTCATGTTCATGCGTGGAATTCGTCGGGTCAATAGAATGCAGAGATTTGAAATGGTGAAGCCATGATTCTTCCGAGATTGGGGCAGGAACATTTTCGTTGAAAGTGTCGCTCATCGAATTTAAACAATTCCAAAATGACGCCTTGTCAGGATTTAGAGCTAGTTCGTCGAGTTGTAATGTTTTTTCTTTGTGGAATCCTCTCTTCTTTGTGTCTAGGAGCTTTTTGTAATCATTCAAGGCTTTGTAATATCTTTCCCGCACTTCGGAGTTCAGGGTGGTCACGGTGCTTTTCATTTGAGACTTTTCGTAATTCATGCCTTTTCAAGCGACATTCACAGTCAAACCATTTCTTGTTGGATGATTTCTTATACGCTTAGCTTTAATATTTAGGCATAGCTTGGAGCTCTCAGTTAGAATTTTCATAGTGTTTTCTAAGGAGATATTCACATCTTCGGTGTTTGTCTCCATATATTGTCTAATTAGAATTTGGATTGGTTCCGTGCGCAGTGCGTTTTTGAAATTTAAGTGTGAGTCAACTTCCCAGCAAAATTGTCGTGGTAATTTTGATAATCTATTGCTACTATTTGGAGTGTGCATTTCGTCTCCAATTAACCTGGTGTTAAGATTGAGCCACGCCACGATGGCACTATGATCCGATAAATAAGATGGCTGTTTAACAACAAAATTTGCAACGTTGAGAAATGTACACTGATCACATATTAGATAATCAATAACGCTCGTTCCGTTTTTTCCATGAAAAGTGGGTCTGCCTAGGGTATCTCCATTAACTCTGCCATTAACTATTCTTAGTAGTAGTAGTAGTAGTAGTAGTAGTAGTAGTAGTAGTAGTAGTAGTAGTAGTAGTAGTAGTAGTAGTAGTAGCAGTATTAAAAGCGTAGGACCGCCAGTAGCAGTGCAAGCAGTTGTTGATCGCATCAGTGAGCGGCCAGGAATGTATTAGCAGTGTTAATCATTAGTGGCAGTGAGTAGTAGTTGATTGTAGTAGTAGTAGTTTTTAGTAGTAGTGATTTATATAATTAGTTAATGTTATATACTGACCGCCTTAATTCTTACTTCAAAGGAATTTTTGTTAAATTATTGACACTTGGATATTTTTAATTCTTAATGTTATATTGAATAAAAACATTTTTAAAGTTGAATAAAACATTAGTAGTAGCACTAGTTTTTTTTAGTAGTGAAAAAATTTTATTGACAACAATGCTGACTATATTAAAATCCTATTTACAATTAAGGTCTCGGTAAATGAAAATTTTAGTACATTGCTCGATTTTGTTTTTTTTTTTGGGATTTTTGGCATGAGTGGGTCCTAAATTTTAATTTGGCAGAAAAAGAAAATCAGAAAGTGCTTTTTAACCCTTCTAAAATGAGTCTTTTCTGAGCTAACCAGCCAAGCGTGGACTTCGCGCTAAATCTTTAGAGCTGATTTTCTCTCACTCTATTTTAGACGCAAAAATCAAAATTCTCCGACCTCCAGTCGGGACAGGTTTTAAGCTATCGCTTTGAAACTTTCAGATATGATGGATAATGATATAGACTCAAAAAGGGTGTGAGGAATTTTCCGATTTCCCTTTGTAACTCATTTTATGTCAGTTTCTTTGCGTAAATCGCGCTCGAGATTCGACTTTTTAGTTTGAAATGCAATAATTCCGCTAACACGAGACATCTGCAAATTTCCTCACACCCTTTTTTAGGTCTTTTATCTGTCAATCAGATGCAATAAAAAGGAAGTGAATATTTAACAACGCGAAAGGGCTGGAGCTTCAGCAGTAAACTCGATACCTCTGAGTTCGAGAACAAAAAACTTAAGCACCTTTTGAAATTCGATGAAATAAAATCTTTTATAAGGTAATTTAGTCTTTTAGCTTTAATTTGATATGTAACTTGCCTTTGTAGCGAAAATACTCGCGCGACTAGAATTTTTTTCTGTGGGCACCTCGTTTTCCTTTACCGAGACCTTAATTCGCTTGAAAAAAAGAAAAAAAACTATTCATTCAAAACGCTATTTACAATTCCTGTCGATTTAAAAAACACTTAATTTAGCTTAGAAAAAGTTAACTTAACTAAGAAAAATTTATTCCAATTAAAAACATTTCATTTCAATAAAAAAAAAACTGTCAGCCTCTAAAATTCAAAAGTTTCTTTCAAATGTTTAAATAAAATAAAATAAAATAAAATACAGACATTTGATAAAGCATCTATAGCTGTTGAGTCTAGGGAAGTCCTGCTTGACCCTTCTCTATTTCTAGATCCCTGTCCTTAACATCTAAGTTCCTCCTTCTCGGGGTTCTCGATCCCTTTAGGCATAGGAGCGCGCTCCGTAGTAGCACTAGTAGTGGTATCAATTATCATTTTCAAGAATTTTGTCGTTATCATCACCATTATCATTTTCAAAACTTTATCATTTTCATGGTCATTATCATCATCATTATTTGTATCATCATCATTATTGTTATCATCATCATTAACTTTATCATTATCATTACCATTATCACCGTCATTATCAATATCATTAGCATTATTATTATCATTATCATTATTATTATCATTATCATTACCATTAACTTTATCATTACCATTATCACTGTCATTACCAATATCATTGTCTTTATCTTTATCTTTATCATTATCATTATTACTCTCATTATCATTATCTTTATCGTTATTATTATGATTATAATTATCATTAACTTTATCATTATCATTATCATTGTCACTGTCATTATCATTATCATGGCTTTGTTTTTATCTTTATCTTTATCGTTATGTTCGTCAATATCGTTATGTCGGTTATTATTATTTTTCATGAGGAAAAAGAAAAAAAAACGAAATGAATAGATGAATTGATGGTTGAAAGTAATTAATTCTTGATGTATTTACCTTGTATCTTGAACTGAAGAATGGAACAGACTTTTTTAATTCGGCCTGCAATTTTTCCATCTCAGTTTTTAACCTCTCCATGGCAAAGTTGAAGGATCCTGCTTCTCGAAGCTGGTCTGTGACGTAAGGCGGATCACAGGGGAAGTAACTGTTGAACACAATGGACAATTATTGGATGAGGTGAGTATGACATGAATAAATGTGATACTTTTGTGGTTTGAAACCATTTATCTGTGAGCACCGGCACGTCTCTTAGTTTTTTGAGATAAGTTAAGAGCTCTTTGTAATTAGAGACAAGGACGATTACGAGCTGACGAGATTTTCTTAATACAAAAGTAAGTAGTGAGCGTGCGTGAACCAGCGTCGTTTCTGCGGGAAACGCGGTAGCCGTTTTAATTAGAATGAAAGTTGAATAAAACCATTCAGGGTGTCTATATTTACTTAAAATACCAGTTTCGGAGAATCCTATACGGCCTGCTTTGTCCCCTCTCCGTTTTGGGCGACCTTTGTACGCAGGCTTTTGGATTACTGACGCAAAGCTTACAAATAAGCCATGCTTCTTGTTTCGACAATTTCAAATAACTATAGGTGTGGCTGAAGTGATTAATTACAAAAAAAAATTTAAGTCTGTAAGATAAATAAATTACCCATTTAAGAAAAATAAATGAAGACAACACGTTATAACCTGATTATTGCTGGCCACACTACATGTGTTCTCCTATGCTTTAAATTACCTGTGACGGAATCCGATATGCGAATCGACAGCCTTCGTCAAGAGGTCCCGAAACACTTCCCCATTTTCTCCTTTGGGTCCCAAAAACCAAGCACCAAGGGATGCCCATTGTTTTTGCCTGTCGGTCACGTGATCCCCATTTGCAAGAGCTTTTCTTTGCTGCAAGTCCATCGGTACTTTCGACCAGTGCGCTCACGATCCTCTTCTCGAAAACAGTTTTCCCCAAAGTCTAAATATCCTTGCAAAGAGAAGAAGACGTCTTTATGTAAACTAATTAGCAAAAAGCTCTTTGTGTCTGAGAATGAGAACCGTGACGACTTAGATAGGAAAAATAAAAGAAGTAAATAAAGAAATAATAAACTGTACTTTTGGTCATAGCACTGGTAATAATACCTGGGTAAAAATACTAAGAGCAAATCTCTCAGGAATGGGTATTTTTATTGATGCATTAATTTATCATGATTTATTTATTTCTATTTCTCGATTGCTTTGTTCGTTAGTTTTGCATAGATTTTGACTGAATAATAATTTCGTTTCGATGGTTATCGAAAAAGGAATTTTTTTAAAGACCCATCAATTGATATTTTCATAAATTGAAAGTAAGTCATTCGCAAAGAGTGATCTGGTTGCTGAAATAGAAGTTTTTTTTTTTTTTTTTTTCAACGACTACAAAAGATTTATGCCTTCTTCCTTCCTCACCACTTACCCATTCATAGTGATCGAATAAATTATATTCCTCCCTTGTGGGATGACAATACGAGGACGTTACGGAGTGCAACTAAATTGTATCGGACCCGACATGAAACACTGAAAATTCTCAGTCTGTAATTTGCCAAGTCATTCAAGTCAGGCGCGACAACAGGTTTGTCAAAAAATCTTCAAAATAAAGCCAGGATTCTGATACTTTCTGACCACGCAGTTGACGTAGATTTTAATTTAAATTGCAAATACTTATAAAAATTGTTGACAGGGTTGTATGGGTTTCAGTTAAGTCTTGCTTCGCTGAACAGAGCAACAGTAGGAAAAACCTCAATTTATAAGTATGTTTTCTAAGGAAAGCTTATGCGTAGATTTAAAAGAAGTTTCTTTTTTATTCCATAACATTTTGATTTCAAGGACACTTGCTTACAGCAGCGTTTAACAATAGTTCTATAAACGCAGTAAATATGGGCTTACGTAGTATTATTTTTTTTATTACGGAACAAAAGGCATTATACCACCTTTTATAAACTGCGCAATTCAATCAATATCCTGTAAAGTGCGCAATATCATGTCAAAAGGTTTGAACAATGGATTGCTTTCCGAGAACTATATATCACAACACGAGTAGTAGATAAAGGCCCAAGTGGCTGCACGCTAACGCAGAAATTGACAGAGCCGTCCACGTAACTTTTCTTAGTTACATAAGCGTTTCCATAACGCAACATCTTGTACCTGCACCATGTTTGCTCGAAAAAGACTGTTTGCAAAGCCGCGGCTAGTTTTAGAACTTTGTTCAGGCCATAGGTTTGTTTTCATTTATCGTTGAAAACTTTAATTTTTAATGTCTCGAACGGCTTTCATATTTTGCGTGAGGTGGAGTCGTTTTGGCAGAAATAACAATACAGTTTAACCGAAGAACCGAAAAGGAAGTTAGGTTTGCGGTATTCTACTGTATTTAAGGGCAAAAAATCTCTCCGTGAAAGTTTTTGCAGTCGATTTTTTTCCGTTAAGTACAATCGTGGGCTTAGTTTTTTCGAGTGCGCTGCATAACTTAACGTTAGATCCCTTGCTAAATTTTCTGTACTTTTCATCATGCATGAAGGCGATACGATCCTTAAGTTTAGATAATTTTCTGTTGCATGCTTTGCAAATTTTGTAATAAATTTAGTTATTGTCGAGCATTATTGTCGTCATCTTTCTGAATCATTTCGATGTGTCAAAGGTAAGGCGATGGGAAACACGGAAGATAATGTTGGGTATTGGTGACTACTATGAGTTATACATCATATAACTGATAACTTGAAAGGTAGCTTGATGATATAATTAACATACATAAGCTTGAAACTAAAAAATGCAGTCCCGACAATCCCTCACCTTACAGGCACTTTGGTTTTCCGGACAGTACGTTATGAAATCCGATTTTTTGCCCTTGTTATTTATTTTTTAATCAAGGTTAGAAATAAATTGGCATTCTAGACCATCTGTACTCTTAAATGAAACCAGAATTAAATTCACAGACTTTGTAAGAAGTTTAAAGTCATCAACAAAAAAAGGTTATTTTATTTATTTATTTACTTATTTATTTATTCGCAATAAGCAAAAGAAGCAAAGTCAGCTTTGCGTTTTTGGGTACGTAACCCTCGTATTACAAATTTCCCACTTAGTTAGCAAGTGGTCCTCAAAAGAAGCATCTGAGATAACAAGATATGCATGTTATACCTTGCAGTTTACCGTATGTTTCACATCAACTTAGAAATTGTGGTATACTGCTGTTAAAATATGTATTTAATGAAAAATACCTGTAAGCATTATAATAATGTACACTCGCCTCTTACCTTTTAGAGTTTTCCGAGGACCTTCTGGCTTCAAAGAAGCTTCCTTAACTTTAGTAAAATTAAGTTGTTGGATGAATTTATATGCATGATTGAAGGTATGGTTACTCAGCAGTTAACGTCAGTTTTACTGAGATGCAGTTTTGGATTTCCCGTTCGTAAGGTCGCTGCCATGTTCGACCCTCTTGGGATAATTTTTACTTGATATTGAATGTGTTTCTAATTAGAGGAAAGAGGTTCCTGCAACCCAGAAGAGAACCCGGTCTTTTTGTGTTCTAAGTCTCTCTACTTTATTGCAGCACTTCCACACCGATCGGCCAAATGTTAGAAACATTTAAATACATATCATAATAAACTATCTCAGAACTGTAAATGTCACAGTTATAACTGGTGACCCTTTGTTCCTTTGCCTAACTCTTAACATAAACTCAATGTGGGCTAAAACTTCCTTCTTTCTAGTAATAGTTGAAAATATGGCTTTTGCCTGTATAGGCCTTTCTGGCATTCCGCACCAGTGAGTAAACACAATAAAACAAGGTAGACACTTGAGTGGACAATTTTATTAGTTCCATAATCACTGTATTTTGCCTAGGTAAGTTCACTCGAGGGGGCTGTATCGACGTCAATATTGTTTTGTTCAATTTGTAAGAAATGAATTTCGTGACACAGTAAATGAGGGACGGTTTTAATTATGCAAAGTACGGTGGAACCGCGGTAACTCAAACAGTTCGAGTTAGCGAGGGTTCGAGTAATCTGGGTCGATCGCAAAATTCAATTTGCCATGTTAAAAATTGATAGTTACTGATTTTTCAGCACTTCAGTGTATGGTGCAATCCAAATTTAACTTATTTCATTAGAAACGGTAACATTACAAGACATTTTTAATGATAAAACTTGATCTGTACGTTTCACCAAATTACTTTAGTGTTGAACAGTGCTAGTTTAGTGATTTTACCTTTTTACAACATGAAGAGGTCAAGTAGAGTTATCGGGGTAAATTAATAGCGACTTTTTGATCAAGGGAAAGGAAATTTTGTTCGAGTTAGCGGGGAATTCGAGTTATCCGAGATCGAGTGAACTGAGTAAAAATGACTGGTCAGGGAGTGAATTCAAAGTGAAATTGGACTTAGTTCGAGTTAGCGGAGAGTTCGAATTATCGGGGTTCTTAGTAAATAAATAAATAAATAAATAAATAGATAATTCCAGAGATTATCGGTTACCATTAATGGTACTGGTCCTTTGAAAATGGCAACGACCTATTACGAAAGGGATTTGGCGGCGCCTTTCCCCCCAGCGTTCTTCACATAATGTATGTAGATTACTTTCTGAATGTGACGTACATGTCATAGAGCGTGTAAATGAAATTTGACTCTGTCAAGGCGATTCTTGTTACCAAGGGAACTGACAAAAACAGCAATCTTACTGCGAAATTGAAGTGGATACGCCATCCTAGAACCGACAGGCTTATTTATTTATTTATTTATTTATTTATTTATTCTGGTTAGTAATGGGATAGATACGCGATTCTCGAAAGCTTTTGATTTCGGACTTCCTACTTACAATTTCGGACTTCGGACTTCGGACTTCGGACTTCGCATTCCCAAACTTATCCGACTTCTATAAATTTTATATGTGGATCTTTAGAGCCGTGGGTTTGAAGTCGTGTCGGCTTCATATATTGATGAACTTACCGCCACCGGAAAGGTCGCTGTTATTATAGTTGGCTTATATTTTACTTTGCACAACTCAATGCAATGTACCATACAATTTCAGTAGCAAAGAGTGCGGTGAGAATTTCTAAATTGCGCAATATCTTAGCGTCATCTTAGAGGGCATTAGTTGCAAAACGTATGTAAACGCTTGAGCTGGTCACGTGCTAGTTCACGAGCATCTAATTTTACTTGAAGAGATTTTTGACGTGAACGACGTAAAGGCGGCCACATTGGTGTTCTAACACAATGAAACAGCTTAACTTTTTTGTTTTGTAAACGCTTTCTTCTGTTATTATGTTAACTTCTGCCAAAACGACAGTACAATGACATAAGTCATAAGATCTTTTTGTTTTTGTTTTTGTCTTTTTGTGATTGTTGTTGTTGTTGTTTTTTTTTAATGTGACGTCAAAGCCATTTGCTCGAAACTATAGACTAGTATATAGATATTTAATTTAAAGAACGTTGTAAGCGTATCCTCGTACGTTTTGCAACTCGCCACGGCTTTTTTTAAGTTATTCAAAGATTTTGCGAAATTTAGAATGTTAGAAAAGTTGCGTACTCACTGTTGCACAAAGTTAATTATCGTTGACGTGCACTTGGGTTTAATGGATATGCGTAGTCATGATACGTTTATCTTTTAGATCAAACGCCGCTCAAACAAATCGTTTGTCAAGATATTGCGCAGTAACAACATGATATTGGACAGTTTGCACAATTTACATATTCTTATTGAGCTGTTTAAAGTATATTTCTGAGATTGCGCAGTTTACATAAAACAAAACCTTCGAAAAAACCTTTTGAAATGAGTCTAAAGAATGAAAAACATTGATCAGGTAAACTCATTTCAGGGTATAAATTTCCTACGCGTGTACTTTAGCAGAAAGCATGCTCACGTTTCCAAAAATAGAATTATTTAGACTGGTATGGAAGGAAGAAAGAAAGAAAGAAAGAAAGAAAGAAAGAAAAGAAAACAGTGGCTACAACTATTCTAATTTTTCTGGGTGAGAAAATGTTTGCGTGTTACCATCAGAAGAAATGTGCATCACGTGACTTTAGCAACTCGTAACACGCAATGGCTGCCATTGCAGGTGTGCCTTCTTGTAGAGAGACCCAAAAGTGGCTCGAAAAGCTTACCAGAACGTCTGTTTTGTTGTTGTTTTTGCTTTACTTCTCTAACTGCAAATTAAACCGAAGTATTAGTTTACTCAGACTAATCTTTAGTGAACAGGAAAGATGAAAGAAAAGGTTAAAAGTCTACGTACAAATAGCAAGTTTTGTAATCAAGGCTGAAAACAATTTTGTAATTAGAGTTGGAGGCAAATCTTATTTTCCGTAAGTTTCAATTGTTTCGTAACCAGAATGAATGGTTGAGCTTTTTTCGTGATTTCCGGAAATATCAAAGCCTGGCCTTGACTATCCCGGATATCACAAGAAATCACGTCTGCCATATTGGTGTCCCAAAACAAATGAAACGGCGGCCACATTAACGTTGGTGTCCCAAACTAGTCCCGTGGGAGATCAACCTTTTGATATGAAAAACCTTTCCACGTTTGTAACAATAAATTTGCATAGTTGCTGGCCACGTGGTGAAAAAGCTCTATAATTGTTTAGGGCCTTCCCGAAGTCTCCTGATTATCTTTAATTGCCGAGACTAAGAGCTCAGTGCATTCATGCTAAAAGCGAGAGGCACTTTGGCTAAAAGGTCAAGTCGAGTTTTTTATAGACTTCTTTGAATTGCTCGCTACTCATGGTCACTCTGCAGCAGTAGGTTTGTCAAAGAAAAGGTGTAAGTCTTGATGGACATTAAAACACAAGAACAGACGAGTTGCATCCTGGGTAATCACACCGAATTAAACTTCAGCTATCTGACCCCTTAAGTGTAACTTATGGATTCAAAGAAAACAATTCAAAACTCCTTGACTTTGCATATCTTATTGACTTGAAACTCTAATCAAAGTCTCAAACGCTATCCAAATCTCGAAGAATGGATTGCAGCTTAAACTAAAACTACATCAACTATGGAGAAGTGCGATATGATTCAGTCATGACTGCTCATGAATTTTAACTGCCGCTTGTTTTTCTGGAGATAATGTGAGTCTTTGGACTGGAGCGAGTAGTTCCTCCCTTGGTGATAACGTTTGAATAAGCTTAACAGCCTTACGACTGTTCTGTTATTGCAACTTTGTAATCAGGCAAGACCATGACCAACCTGATCAGTTGCCGGATTGGCTTTCTTCTTAATTGCTTTTACAAGAGCAACTCTATACTAGTTATTTGTTCTGCTCTAGTTATTTGTTCTGTAAATTGTACTTATGTCAAGTGTTGATGGCGGCTGGTGCGTTTTTGACAGATGCTGACAGATTTCCATGGAAGAGCCAATCAGAGTTTTGCGTTGTGAGAGCAGGCCATAAGTTCAAAAGCTTGGGCTTTTGCTTTGTCTGTAGTCCCTCATTTTTCTCTCTCCCCGTCGCATGTTCCCTTTTCTCGCTCGCTCTACTGTCCCTGAGGAAAATGGGGGACTAGCTACTCGTAGTCTACCGAAGGCCGTCTTTCAGAAATAAAAAAAAGAGTCAATTTTCTCTAAGGTTATCATGTGGCACGTTTCACTCGGACACAGAAAGTTGACTTAGCGATGTCTCTTTATTCAAGTTTCCTGCAAGACCCATAAAACTATTTAAAAAAAATTTTTGGGTACAAACTTAAATTCAGATATATAAAAAATTAAATTTTGACGTTCCAAAATGGTTTTTCATTAGTTTTAAGTACTTAATTTAATGCATGAGATGCTTTTCTTAAAAGAGATAGACACCTTTGCTATAGCAAATGCCGGTTCTCTTATACTTTATTTTAAATATAAGAATGATAAATAGCGAATTCACATTTATTCATTTAGGTATTCCAGATCCAAATTAAATAGCTTGGGCGAAATGTTATTAAAAAATAATAATTTAAATAGCTGTCACACTGTTGTCACATATCCTTAGCCGTCATGGCACCCGCGCAAGGCTGAAATATATTTTGGTAATTGTCATGACAATAAATGTGTTGTGTATGTTCTTAAAAGGGCCCGGAGCCCATTTATAAAATAACAAAAGAAATTGTGCTTTCAACAGCATAAATTCCAAAAAAAAGAAAAATGGCGAAACAGAACAAACACGAAGCAAAAAAACACTTTTACCTTAACTATCTGTTTGTTTGTTTCTGTTTTTGTTTTTCTTTCACAGTCTGAGAAACTGCAGTGCGCTGTAATTACTTAAATACCATAAGGGACCATTTTCTGAAATACCTTTTCTGAGGCCACTGTCGTTAACAGTTCATTGAAAGTCTAAGAAAACTATGCGTATTGAAACTACTGAGTCTGACATTTTTTGACATTTGGATTTTAAATCTAAGCTTCAAACAAGTTGGTAATCCGCCGCCAATGAGTGTACGTGTTTTAACTTAAATTTAGCTGAACTAGATGTCTTGCTAAATTCTCTGAACGAAGCATACTTTTTCTATCAGTGACTGAGATAAGATTGGAAAATGTTCTTGAAGATGGCGTAAACCAAATCTTTTTTCCTAATTTCACCTTGGTCTTGACTTCTTTACCGTTAATTCCGACGAATGATATGTTGAATTCATTTTTGTCCAAGGGTTCCTGAATTTCTCCGTTAAGAATCACAGGCTCACCAGGAATGTTGGGAATTTCGACTTCAATCTCATGCTTGAGTAAAAGTTCATCCTCGCCTTCAATTCCTACACTGTCTGAAAAACCATCAAGCTGCACTACCTGTAGCAAACGAAATAAAAGGGGGAAACAAGGAATTTTTATTGTCTGCATGTCCGATCTTTTATTCACGGAATCTTATAATGATGATGATGATGATGATGATGATGATGATGATGATAATCATGTGATGATGATGAAGAGGATAATGATAATAATAATGAAAATGACTGAATGATAATGAGTCGGGGCTCTTCGTAGGGATGTGAAACAAAAAGACGTTTTTCCTGTCACCGTACATAAAGTAGGAACTGTGCTCAGGGAATTTGTGGTTGTCAAAATGCTCGTAACGAGGAACGTCGGTGATTTTCATGTTTGGGCACATAAATGGATGGTTGCTGTTGTCAGAGGGCAAGCCAATGAAACAGTCAAACTCTTCCAATTCACCAGAGTACCCTGTATCCTTGAAGAAGACATCATGAAGTCTTTGCTGTCTGCTTCGGAAGACAATCGGTTGAAGAACATCATTCCACTTTGACAGCTTCTTTTGGGTGGCGATGTACTTCTCGGCGTCTTTGTTACAAACGAATTTTAACTTGACAATTGCTTCGTACTGCTTCGAAACTCCGTTAAAATCTCCTACATAACAGGCGATCACTTCGTTCTGTTCATTGACAACTCCTGTGCTAACAAAGTTGTGGAGTGCAGTAGGATCAGTAACCTAAAATAGAAATCAAAGTTGAACATAGAAATCACATAGTTGCAGCAGTCAAGCTGCCTACTTAACTTGTCACTATATCTTAAAGCTAATAGAAGACGCGTGCATCTCAAAATATTTTTTCATTCTCCAGTTTATGAGGACTATACTGCAGTTTTATAAACTGCTGAACTGTTTTAAATCACCATGCATATTATACATAATTTATATGTACATATTAGACAAGTTAGGCAGCTTTGCTTGTGTATAATCACCTCTACATGCATACTATTCTCGTGAATAAAGCGATATTCAACTGATCAGGAATTAAAGGCGATGTTAAAAATGGTAGCCTCTGAAAATGACGAAACCTTTCCGAATTGTTGTGATGAATGGTAGAATGGCTTAAAGGGATCTATGACACGCTATTCCCTATTATTTTTTATTTTTCCCTATTATACTCATTCTCTTTAGGCATTGAAACTATTTCCTGTCGTTTGCTGCCACGGATGGCAAGAATGGAGATGGATTGAAACTTAAAAAAGTTGGCCTTGCTTTTTCAAGTTTTAATGCTATGCCTGCAGAAACCACCCACAAAGCTATTATGGTTAGTCGGCATCTCCCTTATGAAATTTGTGTGATATCTTCTTCACGTTTCTACAGGAGCATTTTTGGATCATAAAAAGCAATATCGTGCTGACATTTCCCCTTTAGCAAGAGCCTTAACCGTTATAAGTAATCGTCATGGTTCATGCAGTTGGACTCTTACCCTTCCAATGGCGCACAAAATACTGTTCCTCATAATTGAAGCCATGTGGTTCATGAACTCTATTGATGTGGCCCAGGGATCCATACAAGTTGTTTTGATGTATTTGACTGGCGCGTCGCTGTTTGAGTTGAGCTAAATCAAAGAATAGCAAAAAGGAAATTAAATAGATGGTGGCAAGCGGGTGAGCAATTAAAAGGACATCCAGCCATTTAAATGATACCACATATAAAGCGCATAGTAGTAGCAAATGATGGTGAAAATATAATAGTTTCGTAATAATAATAATAATAATAATAATAATAATAATAATAATAATAATAATAATTGCTGCCGGGCATCAGCCGGCAGCACCCATATTCTTGAGCGATTTGAGATTTTTTGGTTCGATGGTTCGATGGTTCAATGGTTCCATGGTTCAATCAGCAAGGTGACCAATGAGCAAGTGCTTAGCTGCCGCGCCTGTTTCTCTCTTCAGAGCAATCCGCCATTTTGTTTTGTTCTCGTTTTGTGCAGAAGTTGTAGTACATCGGATGTTTGCCGTCTTTTTAAACAGCCTAAACGGTAAGAACAGTTCAAGAACTATTGTACGGGACATTTTTTCGTTTTTTTTTTAATGCTAGGTTTCAAGATTAGTTGTAGCGAGTATTTTTTGTCACACAGATTGTTATCTCGGAAATCAGGATTGTAAGTTGTGATCGGCGTGTACTGTACGTCTACCTGACCTGTGAATAAACAAGTTTTGGCCTTTAGTCTTTACGTTATTTGTTCGCAACTCTTCTCGTCATGTACACGATGATTGTTCGATGAGGAAACAGTCTATCAGCACTGCTGTTGTTAAAATGAATTACAAAATCATGTTGAAACTCTGGCGAGTCAGTATCTGAATGTAAGCATATTTGTCATTGTGATCGGTTCATTTTTTGTATTTTACTCAGTGCATCATAATTCTATGTTATTGACTTTAAGAAAAAAAATTGATATGTTTAACTGTTCTACATACTGTCTTTGTCCTATTCGCATCGCAACTCACGGCAGCACTTCCCTTCTCAATGAGAACTTCTAGTAATAATAATAATAATAATAGTAATAATAATAATAATAATAATAATAATAATAATAATAATAATAATGATTTGGAGGTAGCACATCCACAAAGTGGTTCTTCGTCTACGCTATTCCTGGTCGAAGTGGAATTTGGAAATGCTTAGACTAGCATCAACTGTTCCCTTTTCATTACTAAATTAAACACTAATTCATTCATTGTTTACAATCGATAATCTCATGACATATCACGTGACCTTCTTTTATTTAACTCACATAGATTAGCATGACTACAGAAGGGTTAATATTAGCGGGTTATATTATAAAGGATACAAAAAAAGAAAAAAAAAAAGAAAAAAGAAGGAAGAAACAGAGGAAAGAAGGAAAACGAGACTATTTACAATTCCTTGTTTTCGGGAACCTATCTCCTGTTGCTTTATACAGAAACGAAAATGAGAAAAGGGAAAGGCAAATTATTCCAGTTCTAGGATGATTGCGTAGAGTTTGCCCAGGGCACCTTTTTGAAAAAGAAAAAGACAATGAGATTGCTTAATTGACGGTAATATATAAGCCTATCTGATTGGGATATATATAAATCAGTTGAAAAGTTACTTAAAAGGGAAAAATTGGTTGCTAAGTAACTGAAACTTAAGTCAGCGATATAGATAAATCTAATAAATTTTAGTTACATCGCAACAACTGTATTCTTATACATGAATACTTCCAATCGATAACCTACGGTTTAACGTTTAACACATTTTAACTGGTCGTTTATTTAAAGAAATCTTACCCCCAATCTTCTCTTGAAATTTGTAGCTGCAACACTGTGGACGTGGGATACCAGACTTGACGAGGTAACAAGCATTGGAATACGAAACGCAGTATGTTCCCCTGACGTATGACTGAGGCTTTCGAATATCGCTGTGTTGATTGCATTGCACACTTCCACACTTTGGTTTCCTTTCAGGTTTACAGAGAAACACGGTATCAAGGTGTCAGGACCCACTTCTTTTAGGTAAAGCATAGCCTCATCATCCTAAAAGACAGGAGAAGCTAAATGCTTACCACGTATACGTTGCTGTGTGGTTAGTGAATTGAATCACAAAAATACAGTTTTATGAATTATTGCCACCGAAAAAGAAATTTAAAAAGAGACTTTTAGAGTGCTTGCCTCTAAAAAAAGGCTGCAACGCTCGAGACATCAGCTTTGATAAAACAAAAATATCGATCATATTTTTTTATTATCAACCAATCATATTATTCTTAGCCACACATCGTTCGGTCATAAAATTCTTAAATTCGATTGGCGGCTAAAAGTCACCTAACTCTTAGTCTAGTAACTTGAATTACAATTAAAGACAGTTAAATTTGAAACAGCGTTAATATTTATGACCTTTTTTTCCATAGTCACGAATTTTTTTTTACATGTAAAAATAAAGAATAAGCAATTTACGAGGCATTTTGACATGGAATTAGTAGTAGGACTCCATCAACAGTTTTAGACATTTTTTCGTAGAATTTCTCGGCAGAAAATCGGATCCCAGTAAAATGCAAAAGAATCGCTAGTACTTGGGTGCATTGCGGCGGACTCAATGAAAATTAGCTTTCAGTCTAACAAGCTGAAATATTTACCCTTGCAAGTTCTTCGTTGCTTTTGCCAAGGATTCGTTCCCTTATAAATATGATATGCTCTTCGTCTGACCAGTTATTTAAATTGGGTAAAGGCTTCGTTGTTTTGATAACAAAAATGTCGTCTTCTTTGGCCAGTGTTGCCCACTGACAGTATAGGATCTTTGAGGTAAACATGCACTCAGCTAGGATACGACCGTAACCGTTCTTATGAAGACCGATCACCTGCGAAGTCAAGAACACGAAATTATAAGGAGAACTATTATTAAAAGCCTTTGTTTTTGTTTCCTTTTGCTTGTTAGTTTTTTTTCAGTCTATATCTGCAACTATAAGGACTTGAGGGCGCCAAACAGCAAGTACTCTTGTAGAAATGGACTTACGATGGATTTTCAGTTTGTTTGATGTTTTTGCTCTGTATGAATATACGTTCCCTGAGGCCTTGGAGAGTTGAAAGAATGTCTTAACCTTTCCCGTGCGTGTCAATTACCCTGATCCCGCTTCCAAATTTCCCCATTTGCATTATTAATAGAAAAGGCTTCCCAATCTTCCACCCCATCTCTCCACTGACCAAACCGGGACTACTTGTTTACCAGAACCGATCTGACTAGGTGATCCAGCCTGTGCCACAGACGAAACAAAACTCTAATTAAGCCCTTCGACAGCAAAAGAGCGGCGAAATCCTTGTTCTGCGCCCCCACCTGTGTACCAGGAATTAAGTACGCACCATAATTACCGTGTATATAAAGCCATTATCGATTTTGCCAACTGTCGATAAAAGGAAATTCGAAGCGCACTTCCAGTAATTCGTTGAGTCCGTTGGGGAACCAGAACAATGATCACCGGGTGCTGCTTCGCAGACGTTACTAACCGAGGTTAAATGACGTCTGCGACGCAGGCTAAAACTGATCTACCTTATTATAGGAAATTAACGCTCCGTGAAATTAACGCGAATTGTTAAAATTCACGTTAATTTTGTTGAGCGTTAATTTCCGCGGCGTTAATTAAGTGCAGCGTTAATTTCCGCGCTCTTAATTACCAGTATTTTAACCCCAATTTTGGAACCTGTCCAGACATTCTTGACACCTAAAAAACATTAACTACAAGCTTTCTTTCTTTCCATTTACCTTTTATTTTTCATCTTTCACAAAAGCTAAGGCGAAGGTTTACAATATTTCGAGTTCATCTTCATCGTTGTCGCTGTCAGAAGTGATGTCAATATCTTCTCCTTTGATTTCGGCCAAGATAATCGCGTTAATTTCCTTTTTATGAAATTCTACCTCCTCTTTCGCGTGAATTTTCTTTATTCGAATGTCATTTTCCATTAAATTCGCGTTAATTTAAGTCGCGTTAACTTCCAATACCTTAATTTCATGCAGCGTTAATTTCCTATAATAAGGTAATCTCGAAAAAAAAAAAAAAAAATTCTGGGACAACTCTCCCCAGCTGTTTTCAGGAGAGATTCATTTCCAGGATAGGATCTCTTCTCTTTCGTTATGACAGCAATTAGATCTACAACATTAAAAAGAGCCCAAACTCAGGGAAAAAAAGAGAGATTTGCTTGGAATATTCCACCAAACAGCGTAATGTATTGAGATAAATCAATCGTGATGTTTGTACGGAAAAACAGTCATGAATGATTACCCTGTTTGCCATCATGACCCCTACAGCAGCTGCCCCAGGTTTGGATCCCTCGATACCGACGTCGCCGAGAATCATTTTTCCATGGTAGTAGAGAACTTTAGTGGTGATTTACAGAAATGAGTTAATCCTTCTGTCTCTATAACAGATTGCACCGCCTGGATAAGGACAGAAGCCAGATTTGTGGGGATCAACAGTGCTTGTATCACAATGGTGGAGAGCTGATAACTGTTCGTGGACGTAGGAACTCAGGTACATTTCCGGAACAAATCCTGTTTCTTTGGCTGTCGGCATAGGACTGCTCTCCGGCTGCGTTCGCAGCATACTACAGAAATATCCTCCCCAGGCCGCATCCGCGTGAATGCTGAAGTTAAGACCCTAGTTGTCAAAAACATACAAGTGGAGCGTTTAGTAGATTATAAATCGCATTGCTAGTTTAAGTAAGGGAAACAAGGTGTGTTGGGTCTATGTATAGAAAAACGAAAAAGCGATAAAAGTGTGACTTCGCCGACAATTATTCACCGATAGTGTTTACAATAAAGATAACAGCGATGATGATGATGATGATGATGGTGATGGTGATGGTGATGGTAATGGTGATAGTGATGGTGAATTGGTTTTTATTGGCCTAATAACTACCTTAGTTCTAAACTTTTCACGCAAATCGACAATTGCAGTCACTGGATCCACAGCGCTTTGTTCTGTAGTTCCTGTAACAGCTACCACGTTAATGACTGGAATTTCCTTATCCAATTTTTCTTTTAGAGTCCGGTTCAATTCTAAACGTTGATACAAAAATTAACCTTCAGTTTAAAACACCTTTTCTAGTCTCAATATATAAACAACAAAAATAATATCAGACTGAAATTAAGCTTAATTCTGTTCACACACGTGAAAGCAAAACATACCGACATACATTTTGTACGCATGCAGTTGTAGTTGCTGTTCTTTGTGCCTGATTAATTCGACAGTAAGTGACATTAGAATAAAACCAAACACAGATTAAAGCACTGCAAGTGGAAGACACAACACTGGTCAGTTCTGATTTATTGTACTTTAACACCTGCCAATTTATTGATATAAAGTCGTTGGAGAGTAATAACTCTTACACCACATAGATAACAGTTACATTTAATGTTGTATTATTATTTTTTGTAAGCCAAAACAAAGGCTACTGTCTTCCACTGCAAGGGAAATCTCGTACCTCGAGTCTTCGTCCCGTTCTGCGCATGCGAACTTGACAAAACTAGCGCTTTTCCAGACCGCTGATCAAGGGGAATGAAGACGCTTGGTACGAGGGTGCTGCAACGATTGAAGTACATCAATACAATGTAGATAGAAAAAACTGTGTGGATAAAAAGAGAGTTGTTTGTGGCTACCCGAAGATAACACAATAAAACATTACCAGTAGGATCCATCCGCGAGTTTTCGTCAACTGCTACACAAACAAGGCTCTCTCGACCAAGTCCAAGGATGGTGGCTGCTTTCGTTAACGAAATATGTAATGTGCTTGGAACAACAATGCATGGACTTTGTGTTAGCATATGTCGCCCTACAAACTCCTGCGTTCCAATGAACTCGTAAAGGTACTTGGACATTATTTCCATAAATTCATGATGTGCGAGGCCGGTCAAAGCCTGAACATCAGAGGGCATAAGATAGTGTCGACATCAAGGTTAAGGAGTTCCCACTGGGAAGCACTGATTAATTGTTCTTCCTTTCCTCTCTGAGGGAATAAAACCTAATCGGATACAATTTAGAAATGGTACAAGTAAATTTTGTTTCCCAAGAATGGCTCAGAATCTCGGTCTGCGAAAACATATTGAGATTTGATCGAGGGGAACAAAATTCTAAAGAAAAAAAATGGTAATATGCAATATAGCTCAAAAAAGGTAAACTTTTATGCGAATAAATTCACGCTAGCGGTCAACATACTCGGGAAGTGAAGCAACCGCAAAGACACTCTTGGCGAGAAGCAGTGTTATCGTCAGATGTCACGTGACCTCCACGTTATCCGCTAGAGCGTGCTGTTTTAGGGAAAATTCTAAGTTTTATAACAGAACAGTAGCCGAAAAGCGGTCCGCAAAGTACAATTCGCCTAATGTAATTATGTTTCAATTTCATATTTAAAAGTGCAATTTTCAATCCACCAAAGCCAGCCTTTCATATTATCCCTACCATCCAGTACAACGTGCTGCAATAAATCTGATAAAGTAGAGCAGAAATGAAGCAAAGAAATTTACCTTATATCCTTTGGCACCAGAAAGTCTTTCGTCTTTTAACAAAGCCTCTTGCAGTCCCAATGGAAAGTACTTCACATTTCTTCCCGCCCAAATTGCTTCAATGTTAGCTACAGACCCCCCAGCGGTGAGATGTCCCATACCGTCTGTCCCTGTCATACCCCAGCATGACACACAGGTCTTTGCCCACTTCCATTTCGTATTTACTGGTGACAGTGGAGACCTCCGACGCGCAGTTGTTTTGGTTGTACAACATTGCAGACATATAGCCAAGGTTTGCTGGCATTGCTGTCTCCCAAAGAACGTGACCCTGAGGCAAAAAGAAGTATTTTTTCCCTTTTCTTTTTATTTGTTTTTTTCTTTTTTTTAAGTAGTAGTGATATCGGTTTATTTCTTCCTTTGGGGTGAAGGGGGGGGGGTATTCGGTGCCTTTGATCTAAAAAGGCTTCTCCACAGGTTATATTATTATTATCATCATTACTATTATTATTTTGTGATAACAATTAACGAAAAAAAGTCATCACGATGTTTCGACTTTTCCGAGGTCATTTTCAGGAACAAGTAAAAATACAAAAATTAGCATAGATATATTGCCAACGGTTACAAATAGTTTAAAAGGTAAGAATGCCATGAACAATAAAATGCGAGTGATAAGTAATAAAATATTTGCAAAATTGAGAAAAAAACTTAATAATAAAAAATAAAACAATGAAGTAATAATAAGGCTACCGGTAATTAAAGCCGATCTAAACCGAAATAATTTTACGTGGATGGAATCGCGCTGTTTGTTTAGTATTGGATACAGTTCTTTGATAAAAAGCATCTCAAAAATAAGGCAATCAAGTTTGCTATGGAATTTTAGTTTTTTTCCTTTTTTCGCCCAAAGTCATTTGGGGACACATTGTGCTGATCCCTAAGGTGTCTCAGGTGGTTTCCGACTGTAGTTCCCTTGTGCTCTTCAGTTCGCTGGTGTAGCCGACATAACCTGTATCGCACAGGTTATTATTATTAGTAGCAGTAGCAGCAGTAGCAGTAGTAGTAGTATTTTTGTTGTTATTATTATTAATATTAGCATTAATTTGATTTGATTGATTGATTCGATTGATTTGTTCTTGTAACTTTACAGGTTATAGAATTTAAATAAAAAAAGGATTATTATTATTACTATTATTAGAATTACTAAGATTTGATGAAGAAAAAAAGGGAATGAATGATTAATGGATGGATGAATCAAAGTAATAGTACACCTTGATTCTTTACATGTACCTTGTATCCTGATTTAAAGAATGGAACAGAGTTTTTTTTTAATTCCAGTTGCAATTTTTCCATTTCAGATTGTAGGTTCTTCATGGCATAGCTGAAGGATCCTGCTTCCCGCAGCTCATCGGTGACATAAGGGGATCACAAGGAAAGTAACTGTTAAATATAATGGACAATTATTGGATGAGGATGAATAGGATTGAAATAGTTATTTTAAAAATATGTAGAAATTATTAGATTCGCCTTCCGCAAGATCTGAGGATTGAATTATGCACAACAAAGAGGTTTTATCCACAAGGTCGAAAAGGCCGTGGCCTTGACAAAAAACTTCTTGATCTGCATAATTCTTCAGATCATGCACAAGCCAGATACAATAATTGTTTTGTTATTCATTCAAAACACTTCTTAGTTTAAAAACATGCTAAAAATTTCTTACGTCGATTGATGTTAAGTTTCCATCTTCATTTTCCAGTTTCTCACCGAATTCAGGTAATAAACTAATGGACTGGATGTTTAAACAAGCAGATATTCTCGAAAAAGCAGATGTCATTCGAAAGTGACATTTTGCTGTTCTTGCAATGTTTTTAGGCAGTACTTCAGCTGATTTCTTCTTCCCAAAAGTGTGAAAAACGTTAATGCCTTGTAGTATTGAGGTCATTTTATCGGATCTCTCAAATGCCTTTCAAATTTGATCAATGGAGGCTAGTTATAAAAAATCATTAGCCTGGGAATTTGAGACAATCACGAACGCAGAAATAGTTCGAATGAATGATAATAATCAATAATAATAATCATCATCATAATCATAATTATTATTGTCATTATTTATCTGTATAGGCTCATCTACCTGTAAACAAAACAATATATACCCCCCACTTTAAATGCATTGAAATGATTTGATTTTATTATGATGTTTTGAAGCTTAATTTTAAACCAGTAAAAAGCAAAACATATCTGAATTAACATGTCTGGATTTTGATTAGCACTCTCATAGCTTGTTTCGAAGGATTTTTTTCCATTCCGGTTTAAAGCCACTAAAAGACCGCCAAAACCACTTACAAAGATTTTTAAGACCAGCGCAGAAGTTTACGGTAGCCGTACTGCATGGCCCATGACAGAAGTTGAAAAAACTGTGCAAGAGTTTATTTCAGCTTACAAAAGAGGCACAAAGACTACCAAAAATAGCTATTCCTCAAAATTTATCCCTTCACCCTACCAACACCAGCAAGGCAGGCTAACAAACTAACTTTGTATGAGTATTGTATGGCTTCCATTTTTTAGGGCCAGAAACAAAAAACAGTCTCCACAAAAAAGAAAATTGAGTAACTTGTGTATGTAACTTCTGCACAAG